GTAGGGAAATCTTGCCCTATTATTCTCAATAAAATTCAATCTTTTCACTTATTTGATACTAGTTATCAACTGGTACCAGAGCTCCAATCAGATTGGAGCTGTGGGTATCGATTCTTAAAGATAATTTCAAAATTCCATGGGACAGGCAATGCTTATTCATGGCTGATCAAGGTACAAGAATAACTCATGGGGGAAAGGGGCTAAAGGCTATTTTAAGCAGCAGTGGGCCCATCAGTAATTTCTTCAACTCAGCAAGCAATTGGCCATCTCTGTTTTTGTCGGAGTGGACACTATTGGAATTTGAATTTCTGAAACTAACCAAATTGCTTCAATACGCTTGCAAAACTACCCAGGCCCCTGGTGCAAGCTATAGTATTGTCTTGCAGCCTACTTTTGGTGCCAACTGTGCAAATACCAAGTGAGGATTTCAAGAAGTTTCTAGTTGTTCCTTTTTATTGTTTGAGTGAGGTTTTTGAAGGGATTTGGCAGCAAGTGATAATTAGAAGGTTCTTATTTGACCCTGGTGGGATTTACTTGAAGTTAAAGGTTGATGGTCAAACAATATCTCAAATCCAGAACAAGTCACAATATTCAATCCATGTTGTTTTCCAGTTGAACATGAAAATATGGTGTAGAGTACGGCTAGCCACAATATTCAATCTATAATTTGGCCTACAAACGACACCATGACAAATGCAAAAACCAGGAGCACTATAACAAGTGCCTTAGGAGAGGCAAAGGCCCAATCTGCCACTCTGAGATCCAAGCACAATAGCGCGCAATTGACTACTATGTCTAGCACAAATAAAATCCAATGATCATGTCTTGATGTCTATTAGATAGACTAGCACACACTTGACACCCTTTTTTTGAGATAAAATCCAAATTTCTTGCACAGAAGGCACAATTTGAGAAAAATAAGGTAGCTATCATTGATTCTATTTCCATCAACGCAACTCAGGCAAGCATAGCAACTTGGTATGCACCAGACCTTTTCAAACAATCCACCTCACCCCCTATCAAGTGGTTATGCTATGACATTGTATCAATAACCCTGTATCAGAATTGACTTGATGATCTCACCACAGACACTGTTCAACAATATTGACTTATCTAATTTTTAGGCTTGGTTCTCCAACTCTTGAGCCACACATTGTGTCACAACTCATCCCCACAACCAAGAGCTAGTAGCTCTAGCCTCTGGTGTTGATTAGGTTCTCCTAGGCAATGGGCAGGTTCTGCAAATCTCTTCTGTTGGCAATTCCTCATTTCCCTCTCCCTTTCACCCTCACACTTCACTATATCCTACTTGTTCCCTCTATAGCTACGATCTTATCAATGTTAGTGGCTTTGTAAAAGATAATGGTGTCATTTTCTATTTTCACCCTACTCATTGCTTGGGCAAATCTAAGGTTTCTTCGAAGTCCTTCAATATGGCACATTTGAAGATATGCCTATATAAATTCCTTGATATCTCTATTCTTGCAGGAGCCTCTACCATTTCACCTCCATCAATAACCCTTAGTGTTCATAGTTTTTCACCTAACATTGTTGATTATTGTAAAATGTAATTTGTTGTATCTTTTTCCTTTCATACTGCTTCCAATACTGAACATACCACCTCCATGTATACAATGTTGCATTGTAGGCTAGGTCATCATCACTTTGAGGCTATTAAACACGTAATGAAATCATGTAATACTCCACTCTAATAAAATTGATTCAGCCTATTCATCCAGCAAGTTGTATGGGTAATTCCTACCATCTCCATTCTCATCAATCTACCATCATCTATAACAATAACACACCTCTTGAATTACTGTTTAGTGGCTTGTGGGATGCAGCCCCTGTGGAGTCCTCAAGTTGTTTCCTCTGTATCTCAAACCCTAAACCCCAAACACTGACCATTTTTAATCATTCAGACAATGGCAGAGTTACATCATAACAAAAAATAAAAGCTGTACAAACAAATTGGTGAGGGTAATTCAGACCTCTGTTTACCTTACTCTATAATCTTGGGATCATACATCACATCACTAGCCCTCACACTCACCATCAAAATTGATTAGTTGAACTTAAACAATGTCACATTGTTAAAACTAGGTTGACATTGCTTGCCCTTGACCTAACTATCATGCTACTAGGCCTTCATATCAGACTAAAAAATCTCATCAGCATCCCTATATTTAAATCCTAATGAAATCAAGCTCGGAAAATTTGTTTACTGCAATAGCTTCCTGACATCCACTTATCAAAAACACCCACAATAGAAATGAAAGCATATTTACCTTTTCATCGTTAGAGACAACAGGAGGTTCAAAAAATTCCTCATCCTCTTGCCAATGCTTTTTAACTACCTGCTTAAGAAGGACTGCAGCTAAGTACAGGAAGGTTAAGTTATCCAAGCTCATAAGCTCACTGAAGAAGGAAAATGAATAATTTATGGGTACAAACATTCAAGCTGTAACTCTAGGGTTGTTTTTCACAAGTGAATGGAAAAAAGAAACACATAAGCAAATACAAAATATTTGTTTTCCCCTAAAAGAATAAGAGGTCATTTAGTTTGAAAAAAAAAATTTGTTTTCACTTTTAATTACAAAAATGTCACATTTCCACTTTGGTTCGTGTCTTCAAAAGTTTTAATAGGAAACAATGAAGATAATAAAATGTAGTTTCACTATTTCACATACAATTTTTTATATTGGAGAACGAAGTGAAAAACAAGGCGATAATTTTACAATTAAAATTGAACACAGAAAATGTTTTCTTAAACTAAACTGCCCCTAAAATGCCTGAAGGATGGAAAAGAAACATAGCTCTCAAGTGTTCTCATCAAGTTACTCCAAAGATTAGATAATTTGATAACAAGGAAAATGTCAACTCTAGCATTATTGCATGTTTCCTTCCTTAGTTTTATTTTAACAATTCCTCACACCAATGATGTAAGCTAACATAATTATTATTACTATGAAACACCACTGAAAAATTGTCACAAAAAATATTTCTATTTTTAAGAAAAATAATGAATCGATGGAAGGAAATATTTCAGTTCTGAATCAAAAGTCACAGTATCAAGTATGTGATCATATGAAATAGGATATCTGACGCATTCCCGCCGCATGCTCCTTGTTTGCAGCAACTTTAGATAATGCACTGCCAAAACCTTCAGGACAATTTAACATTCAAAATTAAAAAAGAAATTTAGTTGAGCCGGACAGAAAATTTTTGTTAAATAAAAACAACATTGAATGAGGATTACGGATTATGTTCCTTCATCTCCATCATCAAGTTATATATCAGTTATAGAGAATAAACTCATTACAAAAGACGATAAAGCAAAACAGAAAGCAATGCTTCACTAAAAAAAATCAAACATATAATTCCCATTTAAGAATGATAATTTTCAACCCAACACAAAACCAATGCATAACATTATAGTCACATGCTCACATTGAACACACTGCCACCTCAGTAGTGAACATACTATTTTTCTTGTTAAATGCTTATGCACATGCATCCATCTTCTAATTACCAAAAACCACTCGTCCTCCTCTCATCTTTTCAATCACAAATAGCAAACAAAAAAACAACAGCATTGCAGAACAAACTCAATTTCCCATTCTCCTCACCTGCAAAACACTCGCTATTACACTACCACCACACCACACCACACAAACAGCAATCAGAGCACGCCTAACACATCACACCACAAACATGAACTCGTGTTTCCACATCACAAAGCGAAATCCGCACTTAATCATGGCTATAGAGGTGGCGAACAAAACCTGGTTGGCGAGAAGCCTGATCGAGGGAAGCTTCGGCGAAACAGCGAACCTCCGGGTTAGGGTCGAGTGTGGCAGACAAGCAATTGAGCAGCCATTGCTGATCTTGATCCACCACGTTCGCCATGTGTGAAACGGAGAAGCTAAAACCCTAGAACGCAGGCGATGGAACGGCGACGTTTGTGGCTTTTCCGCTGCTTGACACTTCGGCGCGCTCCTTTTTCCCGCTCTGCCGAAGAGGGAATATATATATAGGGGAGAGCTGGGAAGGTGTTTTTGTTTTTTGGTTTTTGATGGATGGGTAATCACTATAAGAGTTACTTAGGCACAGTGGCAGAAATGAAATTCTCGTGCATAGTTGCACACGTGTTATTCCTTCGATTTAGGGTAGAGATAGAATGTGTTTTATATCTTTCAATTTCATATGACAATTTAAAATTCATCTTAGCATTTTATATTTTTAAAATAATGATATTGATTCTTATATTTTTAATAATAGTATTTTATTCTATGTATTGTATAGGTTAAATATTTATTATATATAATATAATTAAAATTTGTAATATATTATATATTAAAATAAATATTGTATTTAAATATATAAATTATATTATATTTAAAATATTATAAAATAATTATGAATTTTAATATTTATTATATTTTAGTAGTTATGTAAGGTACAACTTCATCAATGTTATATAATATATATAAATGTATTTGTAACATTTCTTTTTATGTGTAATTCATAATCTTTACATTTTATAAATCCTTTCCATCAATTCTTTCATGACGGGACTTAAGTACCTCCATAGAGGTATAAAACTCAATAATTTCTTTTGTAATATATCTTTTAACAATTGATGTTTCGAACATTGTCAATTCTTTATATACCTTTTTAATATATTCATATATCGCAAATAAGTACATCCATCATAAGAACATTAAATCATAAAATCTAACTTCTTTGAATAATTTCACAATATAAGACATGATAGAGAAAAATACATCTCCAATTGACACAATATAAGAAACACTTTGTTTTCTAACTCATTTAAGTTTTTAGGATCAACAACTTTACAATAAATTGTGTTAAAGAAAAAACACAATCTAGTGATGGCATGTCTAACATTCTTGGATAATACGTCTCAAATGGTCATAGGAGGCAACTATCGCATCAATATGTGACAATCATGAGACTTTAAATCTAATAATTTAAGATCTTTAATTGAGACAAGTTTTTTGACAATGGAAGAATAATCACTTAGAACCTACACACCTCGTTAACACTCACAAAAAAATTTCTTTTATATTTTAGACAATATACAACATGCTAAGTGTAAAAATGTACGCTTACCATGAGCCCACAAAGCTAACTATTCCCTTGTACCCATGTCAACCATATCTAAACAAGCATTTACATCATCCTTTGTTTTCTCTTGAATGTTAAGAAGCGTTCCAATAACATTGTCACAAATATTTTTCTCCACATGCATAACATCTAAATAATGTCTAACATCAAGTATCTTATAGTATGGCAGATTAAAAAATATTGATCTTTTCTTCAATTTTTTTTTTTAGTTTGTTGTTTTCATTCTTCCAAAGTACCACAATTAAGATTTTTATCCGTTCATAAACTTGGTTACTAGTTAAGAGTGTCAAAGCTACTTTATTTTTCTAATGACCATTAAATATTTCCTTCAATCTACACCAAGGGTGATTACGACTAAAAAATCTTGAATGCTCAAGGTAAATTGGTTTCCTTTCATGATACAATTGAAGGTGACGTGATGTTTTCACATATAGGAAAAGTTTTGTGTCTTTTAACATTGTAGTTACTTAAGTTGTCATAGGCAGGAAAGACATTAATTATGCAAAACAACATGGCACGCATGTTAAAACTTTAGCTAGAAATCTATCAATAAACACTTCAATATTGGAACAATAGGAAGATAGTACAACACCTTTCTAGGAGGACCTTTGCTCACCCCACTTTCAAAGTCATACTCCTTTAGTTTGTATTGTGACACTCCATACAATGGACACTCAAGTAAGCTATCAAACATTTTTTTGTACAAAATGTAATCATTAGGATATGCATGAATTTTTTTTATACTTCATACCAATTGGACACAATATCTTCTTTGCCTCATAAGTACATGTTGGCAATAGGTTATCTTTGAGAAGCATTATCACTCAACAACTCAAGTAATTAAAGTTTTTATCAGTTCATCCATTTTTTGCCTTAAGATTGATCAATCTTAACACGGGCAAGCAACTGCATAAAATTAGCGTAGTTTGGATACAATGATTTCTCAACATCACTATATAAATTATTATACAAATGTGGACGTTTAAAAACTATTTGATACTTCATTTTATTAATTCAAATTAATAGATAATCGTAAAAGTATTTTATACGTTAATTTGAATTAATGAAACGAAGTATCAAATGGTTTCCAAATTTTTTTAAAATTTGCATACTTAATTTATGTATTAAGAACTTTAATTTCAATATTTAGATTGTTGAAATTTGATGTAAAATATGAGTTATTCAAAAAAGTAAGTTTAAATAGACTTATTCTTAAAATAAATGATTTTTTTGTTATATATGTGTGTATGAAGGTATGGTTAATTGATTATTCATACCCTTGATGTTTCCCCTTCCCTTTTATCACATTATAGCACTTTGAAGACAAGGGTTGATTCAATACAGGAACAAACAAGTCTTCTTCACCATCGCTTGAATGGTTGATGGTTAAGTTTTTGTTCCGAGGAAAAGATCCTTAATAACGTTGTCCTTGCACAAATTAAGAGTAAGTCTGAGCTTCATCTTCATCGAAGATTACAAGATAACCTAAGTCTGAGCTCCATCTTCATCGTAGATTACAAGATAACCTTAACTTGTCACATACATTTTTCTTCTCACGCTCTAATATCTCGGTTGCAATATATTCAACTTAACTTTGTTTCATATACATATGTATATATGCACGTACGTTTATCCTTCCAAGGAAATATAAAATACTTTGCCTTCTTATCAATGGAATGTAATAATAATTTGAATGAACCAAAATCAATTGATTGGATTAATCCGTGTACAAAGCTCGTGGTAAACTATGTTTGCCATAATAATGATAATTGTCCATTACAAGTGTGTTGATTTTTATATATTAACTATGAATAAATATTTTATACAAAAGTATTTATAAGAATTTCTCTTTAACAATAATACATTTTAAAAAAATTATTTAATGAAAGTGTTTTTAATTTTTTTTTATCTATTTCAATTTATATTGATCACTTTCTTTTAAAATTAAATTTTAACAATTTAAAATAAATTATTTATAATTAAAAATAATATCACATCATAATATAAATTATTTATTATAAATCTAATTTATAAATTATAAATTTTTAAATATAATATGATCTATATATTCAAATATAATATTTATTTATATAATTTATGTAACGACCCGGCAAGTCTCACACAGTTTATAGTATCAATGGAAAGTGTATCAGTAACACCGTCCATACCATGCAGAAATTTGTATAAAATAAAACATCACAACCAAACAGTTATATGCATAATAAGAATATATAACTAAAGATCCCATATACATGTACCACTAAAAGTAAATGATGTAATATCATATACAAAATAACTAGGCAAACCAATCACAACAGAAAACAACAAAATGCTAGCTCCTCTTCTGAGTCTTAGCCAAAAGAATGCCAATCCATCACATCACAACATCTACTCCTAATCTGCTCCCATATAATAGTATGGTCATAGCAGTTTCAACCACACAAAAACAGCCAAGGTAAGCTCACAAAAACAATCACCATATAAAATTAATATCATATAATAAACGGCTAAAGGGAACACAACATTTAACTTTCAACTGTCAACTTAAACAACATATATATATATATATATACACATAACATCAACAGATGTGTCATCACACATATATAACTTAGGAGATCTCCAACAACTGAGGTTGAGTAGTCTAAGTGGCATAAATCCTATCGAACCCAACTTTTGACCTATCTCAGTCATGTCATGTATAGGACAATGTTAGGAACTCTAAAGAGAACTAGGTATAGATAACAATAGTTGATTGCTCAGGCGTGCCACTTAGACTCAAAAGTCTAGTACTACTGTCAGGGTAGAAAGGTTTGGGTATGAACGTATCACGGCCTTGGCTTGCATCACCAATCCAAATGTAGAGTTAGCCCACCTACTACCCTCCAAGTACGATGAACCTTCTAGTACTTAGTCAAAAACTACATCTCTAACTAGATACCTTACTCATTTTGGTCATTCAACCAGAACATGGATCAACTACTTCCATGTTATCCACATAGTACTAAGGGATTCAACTTTAAAACAACTTTCAACTTTCGCCTTAGTAATATGTATCACAATTTAGGACACATATCATCAACCATATGTCCTCAACTTAACAACTTTACAACTATAGTCATCATGGTATCAACTTTAATAAACAACTTTAGCAACATTTAATTAGTTGAACAACTTTAATCAACTTTACAACATAAACAACATAAAACTTAACAACTTTTAAACAACTTTACAACATAAATGACATACATCTTAGTCATTCAACACATCACCCTTGCAACACAACAATAAAACATCATCAACATTAAACAACATATAAACAACTTCAACTAACAACTATATAACTCAACATCAACATTAGAAGATCCATTATTAACCCTTCATAGCAACAGAGGCACGCCTGGCGAAACTCCTATTTTGCCCGACGCTAAGTTCAAATAGAGAGTTCTAAAGCTCTCTCGCGCCCAACGTGGGTTAACTCACGCCCAACGCCAATCTAGCAAAGACTCCCCAAGGGGATCTCGCCCACCGTGGGAGATGCCATGCCCGACGTGGGTCTGGTAGAGACCTCCAACTTTAATTTTGCCCAATGTGATAAGTTCCACACCTGGCGAATTAACTACGAGGGCACCAGGGCCCTCTCACGCCTAGCGTAGGGTGTCTCGCCTAACACTAAGGCCTAACATAGACTCCTCTAAAGAATTACGCCCGACGTGGTAAATGCCATGCCCGATGCCATAGTAATAGAGGTTCCCATATTCCTTTCTCTAATATTAGGCCCGATGCTGCCCTCTCTACATCTGGTGCCATTCAACCAAAGACCCCAATCTCACTTCACGCCTAGGGCGACCAACTTCACACCCAGCATGATCGTGATACTTAGGTCTCTATTGAATGCTCGGCCAGAGCCATGAAGGCACG